CTGCTTGATTGATGTGTTTTCGGCGCTCTTGATCCCTCTCTTGCTGTGTCAAGGAAGGATAGAGAAGCTTTCTGTCTTGATCTCCTTATTTCTTTCTTTCTCCTTGTCTTTTCTTCCCTCGCTGTCTTTTTTCCCTCTCTCTACCAACAGTCACTGGAAGGGAGAAAGGAGACGGCGTGGGAGAAGGAGGCAGAGTCGGAAGCAGGGCAGAGCTTCGAGAGAGAATAAGACATGCATGGATAAGTGAGCCAAGAGAGGGGAAGTCAGATTGAGTCATAGGTCTTATGATCAAGAATAGACGGCATTTGTTGAGGTGAATACTTGATAAGCTCTTGAAAAGCAGGCGACTGATACGCTCTTGGAGTTGCATTTGCAGGCAGTAGGATCAGAGTGTATAGACAGAAAGCCTCAGGTGTACAACACAAGCTGAGCTGCTCTGTAATCCGATCGTTGTGGTGTAAACCGAACCACAAACAGAGGAAGATCCAAGACAGAGAGACGTAAAACGAGGGAGGGAGAGAGTGGTGGAGGACAGAGGATATGTGAAGCCGGCTGATGTAAGCTCCTGTAGCAGGTTTCTCCCTGGGCTGAGAAAGGGACATGAGTTGCTTCCCCTGCTTCTCGTCCAAAGTGAAACCCGAGGAGGGTCATGATGACTCGCTACTCAAGCAGAGGTTGGAAGAAGCGACAAGAAGGATCTCAGAGCTCGAGGCCGAGCTGAGAAAGCAGACTGTCAAAGATCCCCCAGCTCCTCAAGGAGTCCCGTCAAGCATCTCCAGCCCTACGACTCAGCCGTCAAACAAGACAGACATCGAGATCAAATCTCAAATCAGCCATCCCACGGCTGATCCACCAGCTAGTGCCCAGCAGACGACCAGCTGGACTATCCCCGACGACATCAGCTCTGACCTCAAGAAGCTCTTTCAGACCCCTCGAGACTCAAAGGATTACAAAACGATTCTCAACAACCTCCGCATGGCTCTCGGCGTCGACGCGTCGGCCCTCAGCCCTGACAAGCTCTCGTACGACGACTACGAGGTCAGAGTCGCAAGAGAGTGGGAGCTCGAGCGCAAGACCAGCAGCCTCGGCGACCTCAACATCCTCCGAGTCATGGCGGAGTGCATCCCCGGCGGGAGCGCGGCGAGTCCTCTTGCGGGGCTACAGGGGATGACGGAGAGCGCTCTATCGGCTCTATGGCAGACGGTGATAGGGAGGAGGCTCGAGGAGGCGCTGAGGAGGCCGGCGGAGGCAGGAGGGCGGGCGGGAGGAGACGGTCCGACGTCGCACAACAGCAAGTTTGCGGAGGTACGCGAGGCCGTGTACGGGAAGATCGAGGAGTACTACGGGGGGCTGATGGAGCGGATCGGGCTACCTCAGACGGAGCTGATGAAGGCGATAGAGGAGGAGCACTGCAAGGGCAAGGACGCGGAGGAAGCGTTCACGACGAGCAACTACAACATCACGACGACAGCCAAGGAGGAGTGGCTCAACGTCACAGACCCGGAGAGGAGGCAGAGGCTGTCGGACGGGACGCGGGTGATCCGAGGGATGGAGGAGCTGAAGGGGCTGGACACGGCGATCAAGGCGGGGCTACAGGAGGCGGAGCTGATCGCGCTGCAGCTCTACACAGGTAAGAGAGAGATAGCGAGAGAGGGAGAAGGAGCATGGGGGAGAAGAGAGGAGCAAGAGAGCGTGAGAAGGCTGACAAGAGGCTTGCTATGACAGGGCCGATGTACTTCAAGTACAACTCTGTTCTTCGAGCTCCCAACGAGCTCCTCCGAGACTCCAACAAGGTCCCCAACAAGTACACGACGACCATCCACTGCATCGTCAGCGGGGTCGTGAAGCTGTCTCGTCACACGCCTCTGCCGGAGGGGCTGCGGGTGTGGAGGGGGCTGAAGGGGATGAGGCTGCCGGAGAGCTTCCTCAACGAGGACAAGCTCGGGGTGTCCGGAGGAGTCGAGTACGGGCTGCTGAGCACGACGACAGACGTCAGGACGGCGATGCAGTACGCCGGGGAGGAGGGAGAGTCGATCGTGTTCGAGATCAGCTGCGGGGCGATCGACCGGGGGGCGAGCTTGACGTTTGTGTCTCAGTATCCGGGGGAGGGGGAGATGCTGTATCCGCCGCTGTCGTACCTGGAGGTGGTGAAGACGCCGCGGTACAGGGAGGTAGAGGGGAGGCGGGTGAAGGTGCTGGAGCTGAAGATCAACGCGAACACGATGAGCTTGACGATCGAGGACTTTGTGGGGAAGAGGAAGCAGCTGTACGTAGGGCTGATGGAGAACCTGGCGAGGGAGGTAGAGCGAGACGTGAGGGGGTGGGAGGGGAGGATCCAGGAGCGGCTTAGGACAGCACCGGCTGACTCAATCAATAACCTTCATCAAAATCTTGTACAATCGATCGTGGAGGAGTGCTGGGGGCTGGTGGAGGCGAGCAGGGCGAGGGAGTCGGGCTGGTACAACGACGAGTCAAACTACAAGGAGGCGATCGAGCTGTCGAACCGAGTCAAGGACAGCGAAGAGTCGCGTCCTTCAACGAAGACCGGCAACG